CTATAAATTTGTCCTATCAATAGATGTATATATGTTTTGTCCATCACATCTCAGGAATAATAGTATTGTAAATTCATGGGGTGTGACAGGTTTGTATAGAGCCGGGGCTCTAAACAATCAAAGTACATCGCAACTTCAAATAGGGTTGAGAAATGTGGTTTCAATATTGGAAATCTTTGTGATAGCTTTAAAAATTTATTTTCATATCTAATTATAAAAATTTAAAACTTAAAAAATAGTGTAGATCAATTAGATCTATAAAAACTTGAAATCTTAAAAATTGACAGTTCAAAAATGCATTACAAGGTGTATCATTCTTAGAACTTGAAATCCATATTTTTCTCATGTCGATCCATCTTGATGTCGAGATGATCAATTTGAGGATATTTGAGCATCGAATCAACCTCTTCTGGTGAAATTTATGAGGTGCGCTCTAATTTGATTGTTTAGAGCCTCGCACTTATATAAACTTTTCCAGATAAATTGTACCTTTGGAGCATTTTCAATTATGCCACTCCTCAATTGGGTGAGAATAGAGAAAAACAGGATTTACAGAGCAAATTTGGAAGTCGAACTAACCAGCAGCCTTCCCAAAAAATTATCCCAACGTCAACTTTTTCCTTGAAAAAAATTGATATTGCATAATAATCAACATTCTTCAGTTCTCTCTCTCTACTGATCAGATCTTTATTTCTCTTTCCTCTTATCAATATCTCTCTCTCCTCTCTCTCTGTGCGTCACTCCGATTCCAGATCATGCTTGCAAAGGTGAAACCAGTTGCTGAATAAATCTTCCATTTTAATTGCGAAAACTATGAAAACTTTGAATTAATGGCTATACATATGTGCTTTATTGCAGCAGAGGAGCTTGTCTGGTTCGGGGCTAAGCCCTAGGTCTCCTTCTTCCTCACAGCCTTTCTTATCCGTCTCTGTCACAGATCCTGTAAAATTAGGTAATGGCGTCCAAGCTTACATCTCTTACCGCGTGATCACAAAGGTAAATTCCTTTTGTTTATTGAAAGAGCGGAAACTCTTTTTTGTCTGCTAATACTATATTGGAGCATATTTTCCTATAAAACGGTGAAGTATTGCTGATTAATTCCGTTCTGCGTGTGTGACATGCTGTAATTGAAACCTAGATTCTGTTTTCAGTGTTTTTTTTCTGTTGAAATAGGTCTTAAATTTTGAGGTGTTTACCTGTTCTTTAAGCCTAGACCGTGTTCTTATTGTTTTTGTTCAATATCATTGAGGCTTTTTATAATAATTTGGTGAATATTTAAATTTTCTTACGGACTTAATGCATGTTTAGTGTGACAACATGCATGCAATGTAAGCAATGTTTGCTTTGGAGATTTATATGTTTTGAGGGATACTCAATCTGGCATTTAATTAGCCGAGCTTGAATTGTGCTCTTAATTAGGAAAGAGAGTAGGTTTGCTGTCTTCATATAATCATATTTTTCGAGTGAAGGTTCATCTGCCAATAGTCTTGGGATTAATTGAACTCTCAAAAAAAAAAAAAAAACAACGTTCTTGAGATCAATCCAGCTTCTCCGACAAAGGAAAAGCTTGCTAATATTAGACATACTTCAAATTTTGTCTAATTTGTATGGAGTGAGCTATGAAAGAATTGAGCCAGATTGGGGCTCTTCCATTTTCACCTATTTGACAAGTATAATAGCTTTTTCTCTCCAAAAAATAAAGAATAATTACTTAGTAGAAGTGTACATCAATCTAATGGAGACACAGCCAAGGGACATATGACCTAATCAAACTTTTTATCTTTTAGAAACCAGAATAATGGGATTTTGATTGAAAATATAACCCAATAGATATCCATCTAGCAATAACTGTCTGTAGTCACTTGAATTGGGGTAAAAATGGGGCATATTCATGCTCAAACTTAGCTGATGTGGGGTCACAGTGGCTATTGACTATTTTAGTAGTGGATTTGGTGGCAAGTTCTTTTTCCTAGTGATTATGTACTATTGAAGTGTATACCTAAGGGTTGCCTTTCTATGAATTAAGGAACATTTATTATCACTCCATCCCTATATGCCATTAAAATTTCTACATTTTTTCTTATAGCTTTCTTTGGATTCTAATATTAAGCTTTTGACATAACATGCAATCCTAGAGCTGAGGACACAGTAATTTGCATCTTGCCCTGGACCATACATTTTGATTGGAAAGATCTCTATTGTCCGTAGCCTGGAATAGTCTGTTACAGAATGGGGACAAGTCTATTTTAACAATCTGTATGGTTGGTGTTCTTGACTAAATTATAGCTACTAATTCTCAAATGTCATGAACACATATAAAGTCCTATTGTTTTAGAAGAAATTTGCACTTGTTTTTGTTGTCTGGTATCCATGTTCAGTTATTTATCTTAAAAATTTTTATTTCCTCTTCTGTTAGAAATAGAAATTTCAGATGTTAACTATTGAAAATCTTGGAGCTCATTATCAATTTGACCTTCTAATATATTTGTTGTGAACTACAAATTTGTGTAGACAAACTTGCCCGAATATCGTGGGCAAGAGAAGATTGTTATACGCCGTTACAGTGATTTTGTATGGTTGCGGGATCGCCTTGCTGAAAAGTTTAAGGGGATATTTATTCCTCCTCTTCCAGAGAAGAGTGCTGTTGGTAAGAACTGTATATAGATGTGATTTTTTGAACTTTTTCCTTATGCATTATATAAATGCAATTTACTGGAACCTTTTTTTGTTCTTTAATACTGAACCTTTTGACAGTCATATAGAGGAAGAAATGTTGCAGCCAACAAATAGCAAGTAGTTTATTGTGCATTATTCTATTGGCTTCTTAACATGATGGAGATAAGGAAATACTTTTTCAACTTCTTTTCATAGGATATCTAAGTTATTTGTCAAAAGGAGGAAAATGTGTCACAACCATTTTTACATCGATACTGAATACGCGTTCATATCTAGTACATGTCATGGTATCTAGTATGTGAGGCTAAAAAGCCGAGACTTCCCGACATGTCTGTACAGTACCTTTACCCCCTAAGTTTTTAGTTAGTTATTAAAATTTTCATATTTTTAACATAAAACCATGTGGCTTCTGTGGTAGAACACACTTAGTTTTGAGAAGCACAAGATTGCAGGTTCAAACCCCACTCATGGTGCCCTTATGTCTGATATATTGCTTATTTTTCTATTTTCTGTATTAACAACATATATAAATATTCCTTTGTAAATCATAAGTGCTGCAGGCTCTACTTGGCAGAGTTGACTGCATCTAAACAAGTGATCCTTGGTTCAAGTTTGAATGGGGCTCAGCGTTCTTAATTATTGCTTCATTTTTTCTTGTTCGTTTTTTCTTGTTGATATACATGTAAATTAATCTTTTTTATGATATCACCATGCTTACAAGGTCCCCTTGGTAGAGTGATCTTCACCCTCTCAAGAGGTCACAAGTTCAACTCGCATGGGTTCGTGTGTTTTTTCATATATTTTAAAAGCCTATGTCCTTGATGGCAACACATCTCATGCAAGTGTGACACGTACTAAGAAAAAATATTATATAGTCCATCACGTGCAGTTGGAGTGCCAGAGGTGTGTATTCCATGTTGACACGTGTCGACTGTAATACAGAGGGAAAACTAAATGTCTGTGTAACACAGGTTGCAATGTGGTGACAGATACTAATGTTTCTTAGCTGTAATTTGGAAATACATTATTTGCTGCTTTTTTGACTTTCACAATCTAATTTTAAGAAGGTTGTATCCTTGATGTCTCTTAATTATTTTGAATATTATTATAAGGGTATGGTTTAAATAGAACCTCCTAAACAATCAAATTAGAGCCTACCTTCAAATAGGTTTCAATACTGGAAATCTTTGTGATAGCGTTAAAATATATTTTCATACTTATGTATAAAGTTTAAAGCTTCAAAAATAGTGTAGATCGACAGATCTATGAAACTTGAAAATTGAAGGTCCAAAAATGCATTACAAAATACACAATTTCCATAACTTGAAATCCATTTTTTTCTCATGTCCATGCAACTTGATGTCGAGATGATCAATTTGAAGATCTTTTTGGG